TAAATATCTAAATTATGAAGGTTAATATTAAATTATTCAAATAGCAGAGCTAATAGATTTCCGGATCAAAGAAATAATTGATCGAAAATTTCTATAAAGCCAATTTCTTGGCTTTCATAATATTATAATTCTAAAGTAAACTAAAACATCTTGATTTTTTTTTATTTATATAAAATCGGTCACTTACAATATGAGTGACCTTTTTAATAAAATGCCTACTGGTATTTGGCAGTGAACCTTTGAAATCGTTATGTTTTAAATTGGTAATTTGTAAAATATAAAAAGAATTTGAAAATTTATAAATATGTAAGTGCAGTACATTCTTCAGGCTTTTCTAAATGGCTACCGTAGGGGTGGTAAAAGTCGACTCGATTCCATGAAGCAGGGACACGGAATTTATGCGATAAGAAGTTGTAAATTATGCGTGCGGTATATGTAAGATATGATTTATTTATTGCCTAAGTACATGATTTCAAACAAAAAAAAATTAGCATACTATAATTTTGTTATAAAAAAACGTCCCAGTGTGTAGTTTAGAATTTTGGCCTAAATTAATCCTAATGCGGCCTAGATTAAGCCTAATTTGACCAAAATTATAAACCACACCTTGGGTGGTATTATTTAAATCTGCATAATGTTAACGTAAGATAAGGTCACGCCAAGTTAAAACTATGTTTAACATAACCTTCCCTTTTTTTGAGCGTCAAATAGAGGAGGTAATCAACATCACTTAATATAAAAATTAACCAATCAAATTGCTGTATTAGTTTCTAACATTTTTTTAACCAATAGAATTGTCATGTTTATTTTTTTTTGATTTTTTTATTCTTTCTCCCCTTCTCTCTTGCAAAATATTTATGTTATAATAAACAAAGAATCAATTTGAAGTGGTCTAAGTAAAATAAAATTATGCAATTTAGTATAATTTAAATTTTTTTTTAACCTTAAACAGTTACACTAGTACTTTATTAAAATTCTTGAAACTATATATGGGGGTGAGTCAACAGAAATCCAGCAAATCGGTAAATCAATAATTTTGAGAAAATCACATTTTTGTACCACACTTAGTAAACAATATTCAATCCTATCCGATATAATCTGATCAAATCAGTGATTTCGGAAGATCGACTCAATTTTGTGTAACATGCTGGGTCAACAGAAATCAAGCAAATTTATCTAATAGATTTGCTTGATTTCTGTTGACCCAGCATGTTATACAAAATTGAGTTAGTAAAAATCTCAGCATATAACACACGTATTACAGTATTATGTAGCAAGAACTTAAAACTTATTCATTTACTTTTCTACTTTTTCTATAAATACAATACGTATCATTATTTCTAATATTTTATAATTTTTTGACTTTCATATTTTTAAAACTGAGTAAACCTGGTCACTCAGCTTTTTTTTTAAAAAAAAAAAACTTGATTTATCAAAAAATGAAAATTTTACTTTGTTTTACTTTATATGCAAGAACTATTCTAATTACACTTGTTATTAATATTTTCTTATTTATAAACAATATTACCATATACTATATAGAGTTACTAGAATTTCTCTTAAATATATTATAATGTTTATTATTTGAATGTTTTGTATAAAATCTAAGTATATTAAAACTTTTAATTTAATATAAGACTATGTTTAAAGATTTAATAAAAGATACTCTAGTATAAATTTAAAAAAAAATTAATCACATCATATAATGTTCCAGACAGCACTGTTGAGAAGATTTAAAAAAAACCTAATTGTAATCTTACTATTAAAACAATCAAATAAAAAGATTTATTTTTTTAAATTGTTAGTTTCAAATTGTAAAGAAGCTTTTACTTTCTTTGGCTTAGGTTAAGTTGGTTTAAAACAATAAAAGTCATGTTTGAATAGATCTTGAATGTGCTGTCTTATTTCTTTGTACAGATACCTAGTGTTATGAATTAGAACAAAAATATAATTGATTGGTTAGTTGAAAATTTTTTAAAAATCGATTACAAATCAATTATTACTAACTAATCAATTATTGGTTTATCAATTAGTTGATTAATTAATTAACTGACTAGTTGTAATATAAAAACATCTAGTCAATTAACCAATTAATAGTTACTGTATTACTATGAAATAACACACACCTGCATAATATTTTGATCATCTGTATGCTATTTTGAGTATGCACATGTGTGCTATTTCAAAGCAAACATTATTTTTTCATATACAACATATTTGCTTATATAGTATACTATATGAGTAATGCCAAGGGATCTAATCATATAAATTTTATATGATTAGAGTGCTCTTTTCTTTTGATGTCACTCATATAAGGTGTGCACTATTTCAGGATGTGCATAGGCATTATTTTGAAACCCAATATATTATTTATAGAGAATATAATTTTCAAAATAATGCCTATGCTCATTATTTCACAGTTTTACAGTAATCGATTAATTGGTTAATCAATTAATAGTTAGGTCAAAATTATTAATCGATTAGTTGTTAACTCAGTTAACTAAACAATTAATCAATTTTCGATTCATCATTACAGGTACCATTGTTGCTCCAAACTGATCTCACGTGCTGTTATTACTTCTGGAAAGGCATCCTTCATACAGAGAGTTGAATTAGCTCATACAATATTGATTTCTTTTGATGTACTATCATTAGATGTTTAAATCTCAACTTTTCCAACATTCTTATTAGAGAGTATGAAATAATGATGTTTTAAAATTGATGGTATTGAAGTAAAAAATTGACTTAAAAATTTGGATCACTTATAAAAAATAATCTTTTTATTTTCACTTGAGTCATGAATAGTTTCTGCCTAATTATGCCCATCTACTGTAGATTGATGAACCATATTTATTAAATTATTTAGATCATCCACTTCTGATTTTTGAAGTTTTAATTTGAAGAGACCAAAAAATTCATCAGGGCTAAATTTTATATGGTCTGCAACTATAAAAGAATAGATAATTCTATCATGTAAACTATTTATTACCCACTATATAAGATACTGAATCATAGCATTATTCTTATTTTGTCCTACACAATTATCAGCATGTACAATAATATGCTTTTCTTTAAGACCATGGTTCATAAAATAATTGTGAACTAAAGAGATTACTATGTTAGCTCCTTTTTCTACACTTTTATTTTCTGGAATTAAATAATTAATCTGCAAATATGACAACATTGATTAATATAACAATTCTAGAGTGTTCAATTTATGCAATTTTGAAGATTTTTCATTATTTAAACAATGAAAAATTTTGAAATCATATAAGTCTGGACACTAAAAGAATTCTAATATAAAATTCTGATAGTTTTATAATTCTAATACTTATATAACAAAAAAAAAGTTCTATTAATATCAAAACTCTAAAATATTAAAAGGTTTAAAATTCTAATATCTAATAAAGAATAATATCAGTAATATATGGGGTTTATCAAACCCTATCAATAAGGTTGTTAATGGAGTACTCCAGACTATAATAAAACATATAACCTGCTTTTGGAGTGCTCTAGAGTAGGTTATATGTTTTATTATTAACTGAAGTACTCTATTAACAACCTTACTTATCAAACATAATTTTTTATATTATTTTTTCTAACACCTATTTATTCGATAAAATGTTTAAATAGCAATAATGTTTCTTGTGTTTTAGCATTTTGCTGAATGGCTAATGCCTTATAATCATCCTTTTTAACTCTAATTTCATTTTAATAATAATGGTCACTCCTATTTTTGTCAATTTTAAAAACTCCACATTCATCCTTTTTAGTATTTATTCCATTCGATAACAGTGTCCAACATTACAAGTTGCAGTAAATTCTTTTACTAGCTGAATTTTAATATCAAATGAATAAATTAATAACCAAACAAATAAATAATCAACCATATAAATAAATGTTTTATATTTGTCTTTTTTAACTCAAATTTTATTTTAATAAAAATGGTCAATCCTATCCATCCTTTTCAGTACCTATTCCCAACATGACTTTTTGTTAAGACCTATAGAGTAACATCTCACCTGCTACTTTTGTAAGAAGTTTCTAAACCTTCATCCATTGTCCTAGAAGGCTCACCCATCTGCTTTTTAATATAGGTTTCTTATCATCAGGTTTTAACCATTCAAAACTTGATTTAACTTTTATAGGTGTCTCCATATTCTATCTTCATTTCTTCTGAATAGCAGTCTGTTCTATCGATGCCTCTTTTGCCATTTCTTTTTTTTCTCTTTAACCTTACATCTAACATGATCCTCTTCTCTTTCTAATTTGGCCTCTTACATAACATCAATGTAGAAGTGCAAATCATTCTTTCCATCTTTTAGGATTATTTCTATTTAGTGAAATCACTCAATTTAATCTATATTTGTAGTATTCACTCTGTCAATTAATAATTCTGCAAGATCCTTGCAGTTCCTTAAATGGTTTAATTTTATTGTTATTACCCACTATATCTTCATACATGTTAGAAGGTGCTGTATAAGTAGCAAGTCTTTTTGTTTGTTGTTAAATAATATCTTTTAATTGATAGTAAATGATATGCTAGTTAAGATTAATAATACAAATACACTAACATTGCGAAAATGATTTTATTTATATATAGCTATTATAAAAATTAAAGGTTACAAGTTACAGTAATATTTCTTTACTAGCAGAATTTTAATAATAAATAAATAAACAAATAAAAAGAAGCAAACAAATAAATGCTATATGTTTATTTTTAACTCCAATTTGATTTTGATTAAAATGGCCAGTTTTATCCTCTAAGCTTATATTCATCTCTATTTCATTTGATTACAGTGTCCAAGATTATGAATTGCAGTAATATTTTTCTTACAAATGAAATTTTGAATTTTGATAATGAAAAATAAAAAAACAAATAAATAAGCAAAATAGAATGCTGTCATGAGGCATCCATTTGTCACAAAATTGTGACCCAGATGAATGAGGGTAGGGTAAGTGATGATGTTGATAATTAGTAAGTAATAATGTATTAGATGATGAATGTTGAGTTTGATAGAATAAATGATAGTAAGTATGAGGTCATGATAAATAGCTATTTAAGAGTATTAAATCAGAAAATGGTTCTTTCTTTTTTGTTTTTGCTGTTAGCTTGATGAAAGTCTAGCTTTGTCATTGGTATCTACCTACTATGGAGTGGAGGAAGCCTTGGGAGAGAATAGAGAGTTAGTTTTAGTGGGAATATAGATTGATAGCCCAGGTGGACAATCCAGATATCAAATAGGCAGGTAATAGCTCAACTAGTACAATAGTAATCGATCCTAAGAGATTAGCTGTAGATTATGTGAGCAGTGAGGTGATATTCTCATGTGTGTATTTCATAATGATTTGTTTGATGTATTATTTGATGTATTGTATAATCGAGTAACAAATAAGCAAACAAATAAGTAAATGTCTTATACTCATCTTTATTTAAATGATGTTTCAATTTTTGCTGATTTTTGATAATTAATGAAACCTTATGTTCATCCTATTAACTCATATTTTATATCGCTTTTGGATAAACTGTAAATTTAACAAATATTATAAAAATGTGCACACTATTTTTTTGCTTCTTTGAGCATTATTTTAAAAAAAATATGATGCCTGCAATTAGGGATTGAAATTGATTTAGTCGACTAAAAAATTTATATAGTAAATTACTATCTTAGTCAACTTGGTCGACTAAATATATTAATCGATTTTAATCCCTACCTGCAACCTTTTACTACTACACTAATCTCAATTTTAGATCAATCATCAAGATTATAACTACTAAAATTATCCATATTGAGATACTTATTAATACATAATTATCTGCTGAAAAGTTCCTTCTTCACACACACCAAATATCTCTACTTTAAAAGAAGACTTAAAATATATTGTGCCTTTCTGTTGTGAAGAATAGGGAATTTGCATACTTTCTGCAAAATTCCATGAAATATGGGTCTCAATATTAAGGGTAGAGTATATGATTTTCAAATTATATATAAAACTTTTGGTAACTTTTTATTTAATTAAAAATAGAAAAAT